TGTTCATTTCAGAGACTAGTTGTTAGTCTAACAGCCAGTATATCTTCTCTTAGCATAATAACTATTCAACCACTCTTGATTCAGTTCCTTTCACTCACCTGAACATCAATTTTACACCTGGCCAGTTGTGATTGTTGCAATGATAAACTGTCAACTACCAAGACTAAAAGCATGATAAGCAAAAACCTTCAAATCATTTTCCCATACTTTTCCAGTAACAAGGTATGACGTCACCTCCCCAATCTCATCCCACACAATGCACCACAATACACACATCCTTGCTTTTGTGTCCTGTATATTGTTAGCAACCAGGATACTCCCTCTGACCTCACGACCAGGACAAGCAGCTTTCTACCTCTACACCTACATAACAAACACAAGCTGAAATAGTACCTACACTATATCATTTACTTTCTGTCAGTGGTAGAAAGTTATCATAGTTATAAGCAACAGGTAATTACAGTAATATGATCTTGGCCAAGGTACACAAATATACCATAGTGAATGCATAAGCCATCCTTGAACAAAAACATGATAAGGCCAGACCAATTCTATTTCTTGTTTTACAGATTTTTGTCCTCAGAAAACCAAAAGGCAGGAGGAAAAAAAAAAAAATATACAAATCACCAGTCAAAGTAATATTCTTTTGAAATACTAAAAGTATTTTATTTTTGGCAATTTATGAAGTGTATATGGGACAAAAAAACAATCAAAAACATTTTTTTTAGTAAGTTTACCTTTTTGGACAATAAAAACATGAGGATTTTATTTTTTGAGTGGGGAAAATTAACACTTATTTTTTTTCTTATTCTTGAAAAAATACGACCAGCGGATCCGTAAAACAAGAAATAAAATTGGTCTGGCCTAAGCATCCTTTAGAAGTTTCCCCAACATAAAGATCCAGGTTAGAATTGGTCGTCAGCAAACAATGGTTCATGTATGTCACTGTATCCAAATTGCAGAGATTGATAGTCATGATGTCAGTCACTGGATTGTCTGGACCAGACTTCATAATTTACAAGTCACTGTTATATAGATGGAACATTGCTGCCATAGAGTGTGGAGCGAAATAACATAGACACCAGAAGTTTTCATAATTCACAGCCTTTGCTTAATTATAATACCTATATATATATATATATATATATTCATTGTCAAACTGTACCAGGAGAAAATGCCAGGATGCATGAAATGCAAATACATATCTGCCACTCCAGAAATGTATCTACACCTCAGTTCAGAAGTGCAGATTCACCCAAAAACCTGCAGCAAATATCAGTTCAATTTGCCAAACTGGAATTCCCAAAATTCCAAGACTGCCTTAAAGTCCCTGTAACTATATTGTTTTCATTTCTGCCCAGTTCATGCTGTAATGCGAAAACACCTTAAGTTAAATGAGTCAAATTTAGATTTACCCATGTTATTGTCAATCTGATAGTGATAGAGACCCTTTTCAGTGGAAATAGAGTTAATTGTTTCTATCAGCATTACATAATTTCAGAAGCTATGTGTAAGTCCAAATTCATGTTTAATGTTTAAAACTAATCATTTAACAATTAATGTTAAGTTTAATGGAGGTGACTGTATTCACTAATAACAGAACCAATATATATGAAGAGGCTTCAATGTTTTGAATTACTGAGATGATTAAGTTATTAAGTTTGAAATGAGATACAAAACCATCAAATATGGCCTACCACATCACTGCACCCCTAGCATTTATTGCAATATTAAAATAATAGCCAAATACTATTAAATTTGAAAAACAAAACTTGAAAAAAAATAACAATTGTGAACAACGCAATGAAAAAATCCTAATTTGCTTGAGAGCAGTTGGTATGAATACAGTATTTGGTGTCACAGATGAGAGCTTGAGTTATAAAGTTTATTAGGACAGATATTGGAATCTCATATTGCTACTGCCAGATCTTTTGTCAGGTGTCTACTCATTGTTGCTCCAGCATGTCTGTTCAGCCGTGATAGTTACACTTTTTATTAAAGGTAATAACATTCACTTCATACCTTACCACAACTCATTCAGATCACCTGGAGCATACTTAGTGGTATTTAACTAGTAATGTACACCATGTACAGTGAGCTGATATTCAGTGTTATCTAGGGGTGGGTATTGCAGAGAATTTTCATATTGCGATATATTGCGATGCGGAAGCATATATTGCGATATGTATTGCAATATATTGCAAGAATTATTTTTTTAACAAAAACTATTTATAATCGAGTTAATGCTTATGCTAATGAAACAGGGAAAAGAACAATTCAAAAACGGAAATGTCCGAAGATTTCTGAGTGTTACGAAGTTTTCCGAATGCATGTCAAAATACCGGTTTTCGATCAGCGTATCGCAATACGTATCGTTTTCATGTCTGAACCGGTAAAATCCGGTAAACCAGTTATATTACGCAGCCCTAGTGTTATCCGAGCAGTATCCTATCTCATGTACACGATCTCATCTCATGTATCATGTACTCCTTTCACAATAAAATATAATCGGTTTGGGCAGGATATTTAATGGAGACTACTTGTATGCATATCTTCAAGGGAAGTATATATTAAAGCCATGTAGATGCTGTGTGCACAGCAACACAAATGGAATCACATCAAACAAGCAAACCTTTTCAATACAAAAATTCTATTCATTCAGAAAGCATTAATGTTGTTGAATATATTCTTGGACAATATAAACAAGATGAAGACATAAAATTACATAATTTCATAAACCAATGACAAAAATACTATTCATTCCATGTTGATGATAATTATGACTTATTACCAGAATACCCCTTCGTAATCCTTTGTCATAACACTTAAGTTGAAAGATAAAGAATTTGAAGGTCTCTTACGCTCGGTGTCAAAACACATGGTTGCAGGCATTTAACATATTTTAGGGTTGTATTGAGGTCCTTCAGGTTTGCACCTGTTGTATTTTAATGAGGAGCAACCTTAATATTGACAGTAGAGGTATCACAAGGACTCACTGACTTCATGGTAGACCTTAAACACTGTACATATAATACATGACTTGATCATGACGACGGACACAAACAGACTAAACATTTTCAAGTTCAATTATTTAACATAAGTAAGAAACTGAACAGCTAAAACTACTAAACCTTTGTGACATTGCCCTTTAAATCTCATCCAAATATAACCAATATTTATATATGAACCACTGAATACACCCCTGTATTGTATTTGATGAGGACATGTTGACTGCACAGAGTTAACATGATAGATGGTGACTGACTACATGACAAACACGGGCAGTCTCATACCTTACCTATCACGGGAAGAAATCATTGAGCACATTCCAGACTTGTAACAAGGTATTAGATCCTCTAGCATGCAATGGATATAATACGTAACTAGCATTAATCAAGGATTTAAGGAATTAGTCCACTAGAGGGAATTTAGCAAATCATTTAGTGACTTGCTGTCCTTACTGACACACTTAGCATGCTGACAAGCAGAAAGAATATATTACTTAAGAATGTGACACACACTCAGTCACTCTCTGTTGTATAACAAATCCTGGATTCAACACTGGATTATCATTCATTATGATAGTATTCTTTTTCTAACTTTCTGCACGATTTGTTTGTTGATAAATACCAGTCAGTAATATCCAAGCCATATAATGTAGTCTGTACATAATCATGTCTGTGTCAAACAAAACAATGGTTGCTATTCTGACTGAATATGCACACACAGTCAAATATGATGACATTCAATCAGAAGTCACAAAGCCAGACTACCCAGTCGATCTTAGTCACTAAAACTAGGCTATGTGAGATAAATTCTGAAATCCACACAGTTTTTATTCTATAGAAACGTAGCAACTCAACAGAACAAAGTTGTACAAAAGACATCTTATTTCCATCAAGAATTTGATAACTTCTGTGGACTGTCAGACCAACATGTGCTCACACATGTCATGTCCTGTTTTATCATTCTTATGAACACTTCAATCACAATGGCATCTTCTAAAACAAAATACGTCAAAACTAATAAGTCAAATATGAAGAAAGAGAAGAGAAATTAAACAAACTTTCACTATGAATTATCTGGTGTTTGCCAAAGTTGAATACAATTCCAGGTTTGTTTTATCACCAGTGTTATATCATGACAGATAATCAGTAGCAGGACCAAGCTGCAAGTGTATTTATGGGCTGTATTGTGCTATGCTAATATCTAATTTACCCCTGGTGATAATTAAGAATATATTTGATAGCTTAGAAATAAAAAGGAAACGCTATCATGGCTATAGGACTGTCTAGAAAGTACTCCATCTGTTCTAATACTTACGCAGTGGGAATGTATCACTTATTCTTATGCAAATGTTGGACCAAATGTCAATGGTGGTGGGCAAAACATTTTGAGAAGGTGTGTCCTGTACTGTTAAAGGATTGATGAGATCACCAGCACAGATGTTTCAGTGACATCATACACTGATACATATCATTAGTTGACATCAATTCTTTTATTGTGAATTAAAATTCAGGTTGCACCAGGTGACACATTATCCTACCTGGTGAAAAACACATCATTATTCAATAACTACTCATAAGGAACTTTATGTGATTCGAATAATATGTAATGACACGTCAATAAATACCTTAATTACTGCTGACATTTCTGCTAGAACCCAATCATTTTCATTGTCAAATATAAGCCCTTTTTACGGAAAACCCCGCAAAATTCTTAATTTGCGATAAAAAAATAGAAGTAATTTGTGATCAGAAGCTTCCTACCGACGTCCATATGTCTCGCTGATAGTGTAACAGCATGCGGTAACAGCAAAGACAGTGAGTCATGAATGAATACAACTCGCTAGTAAAAACTCTCGATGTGGAGCAATGCAAATTCCATGACAAGATCCAACACTGCAGACGACAAAATCAGACCCACATATTATTATTTTTCCGAGAAACAATTCTTGGCTCTCACATACACAATGAACATATTATCAATCAGGATCGTACCTTTAAATAATTGTGTGGGGTTCCTTGATGTACAGAAAACAATATATCACGCTCCAGCTGCCATATTCCGAGAGAAAGTTTCTGACACGGCACATCACTCCGCCCTCTTTGCGGCGGCCATGTCTATTTTCTTCAGTATTGTACTACCTCCGTAACAACTAATCATCATCTGGCAAACGGGTGCATCCGTCTTCTGACAATGTGGAAATATAAACCTATCAGTTACCATCTTCCGGGTAATTAATCTCGTCCTACTGATGTAAATACACCATAATCATAAAACAAGTATTAAGTTATTCACATAATTATGATCACTGAGTTGAGACAAATATTTTTTTGAGAAATATATAGAATCGATTAGTATTTTGGTTACATCATATATCATGTATGAATTAGTTTTGATAATGTACAAATAGACAAACACTGATATAACATAAATCAAATATGTACATCATTATTGGATTTGATGAATAAAATCATCCAGGGCTCTAAAATCCCTGAATCTCTGCAATTTGTTGTTCTGGAGGGGTATTTTCAAATTCATTTCTTTGATTACTTGTGATGTCTGTAACATATGTTTTAAAAGCCGGTTGCAAAAGTATTTTATTAGTTCAGAGTAAACTTACAAAGATCAACTCATGAGATGATCATAGAAGAATTGACATCGACTGAAGACGGCTGTTCAACTAACGTATGTAATATGTTACAGGAAAATAGTTTCCATCTGGTTCGTATAGGATTTCCATTTTTGACAAGCACTTGTTGATGCCTGTCTGACTATAACAATAAATGATATCACTCTTTAACACATTGCTTTTGATCACAAGACCAATCGATCTTCTGTCAGCGGATCATATCGATCATGTTAGCGGATAAATAAAATATATGTCAAACATGGACAGTTTTATTCATGAAAGTGGTACGCTGCGTTTCATTTTTACCTAGCTTTAGTAGAAGATGTTAAAATTGAAACTGTTCCTCGTATTTTGTACTAACAGCACTAATCAGTAGAAGTAGTAGTAGTGGTGGTAGTAGTAGCAGCAGTATTAGTAACCGAAGTAGTGGTAGTAGTAGCAGTAGCAGCAGCAGCAGTAGTAGTAGTAGTAGTAGTAGTAGTAGTAGTAGTAGTAGTATTATGGTATTAGTAGCAGCAGTATCAGTAACCGAAGAAGCAGTACAGTAGAGGTGTATCAATATTAGAAGCAATAGGGAAAATATTAGTAAGTAACCAGGGAACGTGATACTCCAATGATTAACTTTATCGTGCTTTCCTTATTTGCCTCATAAACACAACCTATGTAATCGATCTTATAATATAGCACGTGTGTGTTTAACACAATTTCCTCTCTAAACATATGACACCAATCCACGGGCGTTGTCCGAGAAATCTTGTTTGCATTTAAGATAAAAACGAATGATATACCTATGCCGGCTATATAGTATATGTATGCATATATACATCACCTAAAATCGAAAAGTAATTTTTGTATGTTTTTTTATGTCACAACTTTTTCTGCCTGATTTATATGATAAATCTGTGTACATATATTTGCTTTCCGGTGTAAGTATTTGTTACTTATTGTGTCCACTGTATAATACTCCTCACAGCTATATGAGTGTTATGTATAGATGTCGACAACTCTCATTGTACATCAATAACAGGTACCAAGTCATGCACAGAGCTTGACTGCCTTGTTTCAGGTCACGCCTATACTAAAATCGCGTTTGGGTACACTCATCAAGATGTCACGGTTGATTTCAGGTCATGTCAAGGAGAACGAATATGCGCAGTGGTGCATGTTCTAGTTAACAACGGGGACGATGGGTTCCGGATGTTATAAATATAATGAATGCCTGCTTGGGAACTGTATGGTGCTGGTTAGAACGGCAGAACGTGCGTGACGTTACTTGCTTTCTGTGACGTTCAGGCCTTCTGTGACGTTTCACACTCTCTGTGAAGTGTCATGCCTTCTGTGAAGTGTCATGCCTTCTGTTCAGTTTCACGCTTTCTGTGACGTTCATACCTTCTGTGACGTTCCATGCTTTTCGTGACGTTCCATGATTTCGATTCTGAAATCTCACGCTCTCTGACGTTTCATTCTTTCTGTGATGTTTTACCGTTCACTGACGCTTCATGGTGTCTGTAACTCTTCATGCTTTGTGACTTCCCATGTCTTATCGGGCGTTTTATGCTTTCTCAATACTTGTTTTCTCTGACCTTCCATGCTTTCTCCGACATTTCATACTTCCTCTGACGTTGTATGCTTCCTCTAACATTACTTGCTTTCTATGACGTTTCATGTTGTCTCCATCCCATGCTTTCTTTACGTTATATGTTTCCCTGACGTTCCCTGCTTTCTGTGACGTTTTATGCTTTCTCGGTGGTTTCATGCTTTCTGTGACCCTGTACGTGTACTCTGGTGTTTCAAGCAGGCCTGTCTCTGTCCCGTTCCATATTTCCACGATGTTTCAAGCAGGCCTGTCTCTGTCCCGTTCCATATTTCCATGATGTTTCAAGCAGGCCAGTCTCTGTCCCGTTCCATATTTCCACGATGTTTCAAGCAGGCCTGTCTCTGTCCCGTTCCATATTTCCATGATGTTTCAAGCAGGCCAGTCTCTGTCCCGTTCCATATTTCCATGATGTTTCAAGCAGGCCTGTCTCTGTCACGTTCCATATTTCCACGATGTTTCAAGCAGGCCAGTCTCTGTCCCGTTCCATATTTCCATGATGTTTCCAAGCAGGCCAGTCTCTGTCCCGTTCCATATTTCCACGATGCTTCAAGCAGGTCAGTCTCTGTCCCGTTCCATATTTCCATGTTATTTCAAGCAGGACTGTCTCTGTCACGTTCCATATTTCCACGATGTTTCAAGCAGGCCTGTCTCTGTCCCGTTCCATATTTCCATGATGTTTCAAGCAGGCCTGTCTCTGTCACGTTCCATATTTCCATGATGTTTCAAGCAGGCCAGTCTCTGTCCCACGTTCCATATTTCCATATGTTTCAAGCAGGCCAGTCTCTGTCACGTTCCATATTTCCATGATGTTTCAAGCAGGCCTGTCTCTGTCACGTTCCATATTTCCATGATGTTTCAAGCAGGCCAGTCTCTGTCACGTTCCATATTTCCATGATGTTTCAAGCAGGCCTGTCTCTGTCACGTTCCATATTTCCATGATGTTTCAAGCAGGTCAGTCTCTGTCCCGTTCCATATTTCCATGATGTTTCAAGCAGGCCAGTCTCTGTCACGTTCCATATTTCCATGATGTTTCAAGCAGGCCTGTCTCTGTCACGTTCCATATTTCCATGATGTTTCAAGCAGGCCAGTCTCTGTCACGTTCCATATTTCCATGATGTTTCAAGCAGGCCAGTCCATATTTCCATGATGTTTCAAGCAGGCCAGTCTCTGTCACGTTCCATATTTCCATGATGTTCAAGCAGGCCAGTCTCTGTCACGTTCCATATTTCCATGTTATCAAGCTGCAGGTCACGTTCCAGTCTCTGTCACGTTCCATATTTCCATGTTATTTCAAGCAGGACTGTCTCTGTCACGTTCCATATTTCCATGATGTTTCAAGCTGGCCAGTCTCTGTCACGAATACTTTTTCTTTGCAGTCGTATGTGAATGGTATTACATGAAACAAATACATGTATATTGTTGAAATCTTATACTGATAGAACAAACATGTCAGGGTGCAGACATTGAGGCAGGCACCCCCATCCATTCAAATAGGCTCACATAACGTTTTTGTTCGATAAGCCCTTGTTAAAGTCATTTACATAAATAAAACATTGTTTTGTGCCGCTACAAACAGTATGCAATTACAGTATTACATTTTTTCTGTTTGTCAACTTTGAAATAACAACAAACGTCCAAAACAAAGATTTGTACTCAATTCACTTTTGATAACCATTTAACACATTCCATGTACGTTTCATATTACCTTTTACAATAGCGAAAATGCACTTCCATATTTAATCGACAGTTTGGTGAGTAATAGTAAGAACACCATAGAGAAAATAACAAATAAGGCAAGACGTTGAACACCGACAACAGCTGCTATATACGTGATTGACAGCTGGTGAAGGGGATGTCAAAACTAGAGGAGGGAAATATGACAAAGAATCAATTTTTGAAGTCTCGCGAGCATGAGTCACGGTTCTAGCGTCACGACAACCTGGTGCTCGACACTAAAGGAATGCATGACGCTCGGCCAGGGCCACTGTTAATGACAGTGTGGCCCTGAATGTACCCGTTATCATAGATAATTTAACTGATTTTACCTGGTCGCTTCATGTTACAAGTGGTGTGTCATGAATTGATCTTTGAAATTTACCGGTTTCAAATTATACTGGATGTCATTTTCAGCATTATCTGCTTTGTCTGTTGATCTTCCACAATGACACCAACAGGAAAGCAGAAATGACAAATATAGCTAGACAGATTGCTGAATATATATCTTTATCGAGGCTGTAGAGTAGCCTAGTGGAAAGAGCGCTCGTTCGTCAAAGGTGTTCGATTCCCACATGGCTTGAAGATTGAAGCTAATTTACGATGTCCCTCCGTGATTTTGATGTAATATTGTTAAATTGGCATAGATCCATATTCATTCACTCACTAAACTAAGTTTTACGTCTGTTCAAGCATAGTTTGGTTGTAACAATACATCATGTTATTTGTTAACCTTTTGACACCGACGGCCTCATTGTACAGTACTTCCGTGATAAAATGAGGAGTGAGATTGGTTTTACGCCGTTATTAGCAATATTATAGCAATATCAAAGCGTCGGACACCAGAAATGGGCTTCACCCATCGTGACCATTTAGGGAATCGAACCCGGTGTCTTCGGCATGACGAGTGAACGCTTTAACCACTAGACTACCCCACCGCCCCTTGATTCAGTCTGAGTCACATGGTGTTGAGTAGGGATTACTTGAATTGGAGCAACCCTAGGAGATCCGTGTTAGAATTGGGCGTCAGCAACCCTTGCTTGTCGTAAGAGGGACTAAAGCGGAAGGTCAGGCCGCTGATTTGGTTGATGCATATCATCGTATCCCAGTTGTGTAGATCGATGTTCATGATGTCAATCACCAGATTGTCTGGTCCAGACTTGACTATTTACAGACAGTCGTCAAATAGCTGGAATAGTGCTGAGTATGAAAACAAACACAAATAAATTGGAACAATATTCGAAATAAAATGCAAGTTTAGATACACCAAATGGCTGGTACGAGGAAGTACACTGCTATCATAACATGCAGCTATTAGACGTTATCAATGTTCAGTTGTTTGACAAAACTGCCACTGTACCTTTTTCTATTCCATGCCTACACATCGACAATAAATAGACTCAAAACAGCAAGAAGAACATCAAACAGAGATGCAAGAACATCATCAAAAGTTGCATTATTGATTCTAAAATATTCTTATCAACAACAGATGCACGTCAAAATACACGTAAACTGTCAATACCGAGTTATTATATTCATTGAAATGCTTTTGTTTGTGACTGAATCAATAAATGGCACTAATTAGCCTAAATGACGGCGTCATTTGGAGTGACACACCCAAAGGTTCTGTAGAGATAGATATCTGGGCCAAGATTTTCGAAGATAGTCTTAGCGCAAGCGTTCAGTACAAGATAGTCGTAAGTGCTATACAATATTGACACCGTTTCATCAACGTAACATTAACCTACGACTATCATAGCGCTAAGAGAGCTTCGAAAATCTAGGCCCTGGGATCAACCTTGTCTGTCTCTGTCACTGCGGCTCCTGTTCATTTAAACGGACTTGTTTGTTTCTATCAAAATTATAAATATAATCAAAGTAAGATTGGTTACAGTTTGATCACCGCGAGTTCATCATGCAGGGCCGTCTATATTTTTTAAAATTCAAAATCAGTAATATCACGGCGAGCTAGCTAGAAGCCCAGATAATTGCAGATGAGTGTCACTTTGGTAAGGCATACCTGGGTGGTTCTGTGATAGCTTGATACAAAGGATCACAATAAGAGTGAATTTGGATTCTTATCCTGATACAAATAAGGGAGGCAACTATGTTTTCACAACAGAGACACGCAGTCACAGATAGATAAGGTTGCTAGCTCATCCCAAATACTTGTGAAACCCAACCGAATCCTATGGTTTAAACTATGACCTGTGTGAATCAATGGTTTTAGCTTTGTTTGTTGTCTAAAACCCTCTTAAAGAAATATTCAAGCTATATGACAGAGGTCTATGAAAACTTGATCTGGTGATTGACATCATGAGCATCGATCACAAAAATACACTTTTCGCCAAGATTTTCAGGGATGTGTTATTAAGAGTGTGTGTGCGTGTGCATGTGCGTGTGCGTGTGCATGTGCGTATATTTCTTGTTAACGCCACACCAGGCAGTATTCGAGTTGCGCCTCTTGACGGTCATGTCTAGACCAGACAAACCAGTGAATGATGTTATGAGCACCTAAGCTACCTGATACCGTTAACCGCCTCAAACGACCAACATACATACATAGCCTAGGGATGGCATAGTGTTTATATATCCAGAATAAAACCGATTAAATTTGCCTATTTTACTGTAAGCGGTTACCTTCGAGACTAGTGTCATATTGCGTAATATGATCGATATGCTGTGATGTAATCATATACTCTTATGCCACTTTACGTAACGTCAACAATAGAGGCTGCATTACGTCCAAAAGACCGCAGGCGCGTGAAGGTATCATAATATGCATGCCTCATCTTACAAATTCATCGCGTATCTTGAACAATAGGGATAATAGATATGGCAATATTTACAAATATAAATATAATCTAGGATTGTCTTCCAATGAATGCTGACGTCACGCAATATTCCCGTTAAATTACAACGTAGTGTTCCTTATTTCCTCCAATAAGCGCCGACGGGCCTCTAATATAGGCGCCGGGGGTAAAGCAGCGGTTTAAGGAATAAGCGCAGGGCCTCTAATAAGCGCCGGGTACGTTCTTTATAAATGTATTCTCCCTTGACGCAAAAGTAGATTTATTAAGGAACAATGCGGCCCTCGTCACGGGTACAGCTGTCTCTCTGTGGGTCCGAGAGGCCTGGGAAACATGTCAGGAATATCATGCATTCACACACTTGTTTACAGCTCTCCAATAAACACCGGGACCCTAATAAGCGCCGGGTCTCCAATAAGCGCCGAGTCTGGAAGTCCGTTGACAAAAAGGTGCCCGGGCGCTTATTAGAGGAAATACAGTATAAATGGGTAAAGCGGGCTGTAAGCATAAACGTAGGGTCACAGTGACACGCAATGACCCAAGCTGACGTACCTGACATATAGACCTCTGTCAACATTTTCCTTTATGACTCACTCACTCAAATGCAGACTATAGAATGCGTTAGAATTGATCTTCAGCAACCCATGCTTGTCTTAGGAGGATCTTCAGCAACCCATGCTTGTTTTAGGAGGATCGGGGTGCAGTGATGAGGCTCGCTGACTTAAATTCCCAATTGTGTAGGTCCATTAATGCCGAGCGCCAGGCAAGAGGACCAACTAATGTCAGTCACTGGATTTCTCGTCCTGACTCCATTATTTACAGATCGTGGGACCGCCTCCGTGGTGTAGTTCACTTGTTAGAGCGTCCGCCCCGAGAGCGGAAGGTCGCGGGTTCGATCCCCGACCGCGTCATACCAAAAGACGTTAAAATATGGTACTTGTTGGTCCCTGCCTGGCGCTCGGCATTAATGGGTACAACAAGGACTGGTCGGCTCGGAGTCAGTATAATGTGTCTGAGTGGGGTATTCATGCTTCACTGCGGCATGGTATCTAAGTGGGCTAGCACTATAAAACCAGCTTCAGTCTGGGCTAGTACAAGCAGCCGCACATACACATACACACGCATGCACGTCGTCATATGAGCGAAATATTCTCAAGCACGACGTAAAACCCAATTTCAACTCACCTCACCTCACAGATCGTGGAGGGAAACAAACACACAAACAAACAACAAACTTTCTTCAAATACATATATCTATTTGATCAAGAGTAAATAGCGGGTAATGCTTTGCCTGTTTGTTAAAGCAAAGTTTTATCTTAAATTGATTTAATGTGAAATGTGTTCTATGGATAGAGTATTTGTGCAAAATATTAAAACAAACATATGAGAAGAGGGGATACTTCCCCGAAACTGGAAATATTTGTGAAAATTCGGGTTAGAACTGGTCTTCAGTAACCTATGCTCGTCGTAAAAGGCGACTAACGGGATCGGATGGTCACGCTCGCTGACATGCATGGTTGACACATGTCACCGTATCCCAATTGCTAGACTAAGGCTTAGTCTCTGAATATATATAATACTGATAGTAACAAACAAGCCCATTTATATTGAAAAGGAGCCCTAGGGAGACCAGAGATTCAGAACCTGAGGAAATCTAGACTTGCTTTATTTATGGCTTTAGCACTGCAGAGAGGGCTTGGCAGTAGGGAACATAATGTGGTTCAGGAACTGTGAGACAGACTACCTCTTACTCTGTCTTACATGCTAATGCTGTTGGAAAGAGAGTCTACGTACGCTTCACTGACTACTGAAGACTTGACCACCGCTTATTGAACTCCCACAAAGAGCAAAATGTGGTATAGTATCATCAGTAAATGTGAATCAATATTATTGTTTTCAAGTTGAAATTCATTTTTATATTGTATATGTCTTATAGGCTGGACATCACTTTAACGGTGTTGAATAAAATGGTATTGCTATATAATTATAATGTGATGTGCGACCTTCTTCAACTCAGGGTCGGTGGGGTATTGTTTAGTCTAGTGGTAAAAGCTTTCGCACGTCACTCTGAAGACCCGGGTTCAATTCCCCAAATGGATACAATGTCTGGTGTCCGTCTCCGTGGTATTAGTGGCATATTGCTAAAAGCGGCATTATTAACTGAACTCACTCACTCACACATGATCCTGACCTAAGTTTGTGATCACATGGAACCTTTTTCAGTATACGGTGTTCCTGCCCTCTATTCCTGTTTCTTTACAAGGCATACATTACAGTTATTCATGATCGTACAGAAAAGCCATTACATAGCCCGCTGTCATTTTTCGTTCTCAAACTTTAATAATACAGAATATTGCCATTGTTTATACATTTCAATAACTTACTAACAAGATCCGTGTTTTGGTCTTTGGCAACCCATGCTTATCGTGAGAGGGGACTAAGAAGATCGGTTGGGGTGGGGTGTCAGCAATTTTGTACATTAAAAATATGAAAAGATTCTGACCCGGATCTTCACAAGGGAGACAAGCATGGATTGCTGAGGACCAGTTGTAACCCGGATCTTCACAAGGGAGACAAGCATGGATTGCTGAGGACCAGTTGTAGCCCGGATCTTCAAAAGGGAGACAAGCATGGATTGCTGAGGATCAGTTCTGACCCGGATCTTCACAAGGGAGACAAACATGGATTGCTGAGGACCAGTTGTAGCCCGGATCTTCACAAGGGAGACAAGCATGGATTGCTGAGGATCAGTTCTGACCCGGATCTTCACAAGGGAGACAAGCATGGATATTGCTGAAGATCAATTCTAACCCGGATCTTCATGGGATCTAGGGTACAGAGTTCTGGCAAACAAATAACAGCGTGTGTGTGAACTGTATAAGATTATGTATGACACTGGGCGAGGCGGGATAAAGTTAGGTGAGGTGAAATGGGGTGCACGTTCAAGGTTATCGTACCTGTCAGTAGGTGTGTCTGTCTACGCGCGCGCGTGCGCTCTAGTCCCGGAAAATGTCGGTTTTGATTAGAGCTAGTCAATTGAAATACCATACCGCAGTTTACCATGAACATTCAATGCACTAAGACACAGTATTCTGTCTCTGAGCCCAGCAAACGACGGTCAGGGTAACAATAAGTACCAGCTATTACAGATTATGTTAACTGCGACCGAGGTTTGAACCACTGACCTTCGGCTATTATCATTATTTTTATAATGTTAATTTGTTCTTTATTTTATTTGCAGGTGTGCCCATGCAGACACAAATAAATACGGTCATTATTTACACAAACCGATCTTGGTCTAATTTAAACACATCTATTAATTTGTGTATATAAATTTACTCATCACAACAGTGGATCCTGTCGATTCGTTGGTGTTTGCTGGGTGTATTGCGATAACGTTTTCATTCAGCTTTCGGAATATATTCTGCTTTTATAATAACCCCACACTTCCGGTTTTCAGACGGCATGGGTGATATTCCAGAGGGTTGGGAAAAGAGAACAAGCCGGTCCAGCGGTAGGCGCTCAGAAATCTCTATCTTCATCCATTTCATGAAACTATTATGTTGCTTTTTATATCTTGTCAGATATGTGTCATCTTTATATTAGTTAATGAACGTATTTTGTTTGAATGAATTTGCATATCCAGAGGTATTTTCCTAAATAAGTTTGACAGATTTTAGAAAAGCCCGCTAATGATATGTTAAACGGTCGAGCGTGTCGTTATTATTGGTTTGCCGACATGTACACATTTACACTTTGAGGTCTGAATTTACCTCATCTTCATAATATTATTTTGGAATTATCCCATGATAGACTTCTGGTACGATTGTTAGGAAGCTGAATGTGCGTCTTTTTGTTAAAATCAAATTTACCGTTTGTCTTTGTTGTTTTGCAGTGTTGATTTTCCTCTCAGCTTTTGATATCACTTAGCCATTGCGATTTATATGTTAGTGCAACATTTACAGCATATTAGGGAACAGTTATTTCAATATTAATAAATTGAGGTAAGCTTACTATTAACAACAAAATAATAACATCAATATATATGATATATAATCATAAGATCAGGTGTAACCAGGGATCAAATGTGTTATCAGTGTTTAAAACTCCCAAAATTCCAAGCCGGACTGGAAACTTAAAAAAATTACCAGTCCGGATACAAACTTGCTTGTCCGGTTTTCAACAATGAAAACAAAAATCAGGTTTCTGAATACTTTACTGTTTGCAAGCATCGCTATGAACAACATAGCACTAACAGGCAATGCACCGAGTTTAGGTAAACTGTAAGTACGTGTTGTGATTGGTTTTTGTAAAATGAACTGTCCAATCGTAAATAGTTTAACATAATCATCATAACACCGTAAACACCTCAAACTGACGACAAGAGAACCTGTGTGATATTATGAAATATTTACTGTTAGGGGGGTAAAAACATCTACCAGACCTCCGGGCAGGCTACTTTTGAAATTTGACCATCCGAGATGAAAATAGACCATTCCGGACGGTCGGGCAGGCGGGAATTTTAAACGCTGGTGTTATATTATCCCCCAAATAATGTGTTGTCTATAAGAAGATCATTGTTTAATATCAGAGAATTTCAAATGTCAATTTTTTTTCAAAATTGTCTCTTGTTACTGTTTATGCCACAACACATTTGAAAGCAATTTCTTTTTTTTGTGGTTTGAATGATTCAGTGATTTTGACGAAAAAATCTGAATGTAGGTCAGTGACTTGCAACAATGTGAAAAAGTGTAAGAAGTCAGATGCAAAAGTCAGTAAGGAACCATAACAACAAATGAATGCAACTTTGTTAATGATTGGATAAATATATACGACCTGGCCAATAAATGTTGCGACAAGAAAAGCACCTAACTGAGCCTCCACAGGAGCAACTCCTGACAGTTTCAATATGACACAGAGAGCATGGTACAAAGACATGCACTGCTCAGAAGTTCTGTTACAATTATTGTTGGCCATGCATTTTTTCATAAAATTGATTCTATAAGTTGGACAAATCCTTTCTATTTACTCTATGATTTTCCAATCATGAAACACCTGACGCCTTGCTTAGAATTTCTATTGGTCAAGAGTCAGATTACTCACACAAACCAACTGTCAAATTGAAAATTTATGAATCAATTACCAGTGATCGATAGTGGTGAAACGGTGCGCTCTTACTATGGTAAGGTACGTATTGCGATACAAGCTGGGATTTACAGGACGCAAATTTCTGCGTCCTGAAGCATAAAAATTGACAATGGACGCAACAAAATCTATTCGCAATCCACAGGGATGCAGAAAAAGTCCAAATACTTTTTGGAAAAATTCCAATCAAGTAATAATAAGTTATCAAAGAGTTTGCTACTAGCTGGGTTATGGTATCATTTACAATTCAATCACTGTAACAAATAATGTGATGATCATGATACACAAGACAATAACACTATTAATAATTATATTATAGTAAGTGTCTGGACCCCCATTTTGTTGTCCAGGACCCCTGAAATTTAAGAGTATGAGTCCCAGGGACCCTCACATACAGGACTCAATGTGAATCCTTCGGTACAAGGCTAGTCTGTCGTACAGACCCTGAAGTAAATATATCCAAGAAAGCCCACGCAAGTCTAGAAAATGTGGCAAGTCTAGATTTCCTCAGCTTCAGGAAAATGAAGAAAGTCTCAGGGCTCCTTTTCATTATATTTTTTTTTTTTTTTCACTATGAACTTTTTTTCAGTAAAATATGTTCATTTCAGAGACTAGTTGTTAGTCTAGTACAAGGCCTTCGGTTTGGTATATGAGAACTTATTTCCGGGATATTAGTCTCTGTCAAGTAAAGAAATGCATAGATTTTGACAAAATGATTCAATTTCTAGACATTTTAGAAAATGTTTAAATAGGTTAATAAAAAGAAACCAATTACGGTATCCCGAACCGAAGGCAAAATACAGTGGTTCTACTAATACCACTGTATACCATTTCACCTCTAGTGAACGATGGACATCAGATACCCTGTTTCCTTCAAAAGATTGGTGGTTAAAAAAATATTTTAGCCATGAATTCTAGGGTAAAACTGGGTCTCTGTAGACAGCTTTTCTCTAATAGGCTATCAACTGTGGTGGTACTGACTGATATTATGACCTAAGTCCTAGACAATCCATGTACATCAAGCAAGTCCCCAGGCCAAGCCTTCTTATATTTTTTCATTATGTTCCCGCTATCCCCCAATCCTGTTAGACCAGCATTGGTTACTGTTGACAAATTCTAACCACACCAGCATCCATGGATACTGAGGTTTTATGCTCACCTGGATGTTATAATTGACCCATGAAGATCTTGGGTAGAATTGATCATCAGTAACCCATGCTTGTCCTAACTGGCGACTAATGAGATCGGTGTAAAACTAAACTCACTCACTCACTCCATGTTATAATTTGTTCTTTGTTCAGCCTGTGCTAGTTGCAAAAGGTGTCACAATGGAGTGGGTGATCTAGTTTAATGACTTAGCTAATTGCATGCCATTGTACAATGATGATGCTTACAATATCAATCCCTGGATTGACTTAGTTATTAACAGACTCGTGAAGATCTGGGTTAGTACTGGTCTTCAGCAACCCATTCTGATAGAGGCAACAAGTGGGATTGGGTGGTCAGACTTGCTGACATGGTTGAGAAATGTCATTGTGTCCCAGTTGCGATATATGGATGCTCATGCTGTTGATCACTGGATTGTCTGGTCCAGACTCGATTATGTAGAGACTGCTGCTATGTACCTGGAATATTGCTGAGTGCGGCATTAAACAAGAAACAAATAAATAGACAGACAGACAGACAGACAGACAGACAGGTTTATTCGGTAATTTAGGCCCAAGGCCCATAATACATACATTTGGCGAAAGTAAATACATACATTTGGCAAAAGTAAATACATACTGAATAAAGCTAAGTAAAGTTTAGTATTGATTTGTTTTACAGTTGTTCATTCCTTCTATGGCGAACTTGTAAAAGATATTTACTCAATGATTTTAAAATATGTATATTGTCTGATGACAACAATCGGATGAAGGTTTCAATTGTCGGTGGTTGAGTCAAATGTATTGAAAAACAATCAGATCTTTGTTGGGAATATTTTGGACATATTACTAAAATATGGAGTTCATCTTCGATGTAATCAAGGCCAGCAGCATGACAAAAGAGGCAGAGACGTTCATTATACGGGGTGTTTGTAAATAACTATTTACATTTCTTTTCCATATATCTGTGTGTGGTGTTAAACAAAATCAACCAACAGTGGTCTGTGTTCTTCAGGTAGAGACTACTACTTGAACGTCTACACCAAGGAAAGTCAGTGGGACCCACCATCAGAGCCTGCCAAGAAGATGAGTGCCAAGACTGTACAAGCATCACACCTGCTGGTGAAGCACCGTGACTCTCGCAGGCCCATGAACTGGAAGAAGGAGGAGATAACTCGCTCCAAGGAGGAGGCGATGCAGTTACTGCTGGGTGAGGAGGGGGCTGTGGGTCGGGGGAAAGCTACAAGTAGGGAGGGAGCTGCAGGGTGGCCAGAGAGCTGTAGGGTGGGAGGGAGATGCAGGTGGCAAGGGGCTGCAGTGCAAGGAGCTGCGGGGTGGCAAGGGGGCTGCAGGGTGGGAGGGAGATGCGAGGTGGCAAGGGGCCGCAGTGCAGGAGCTGCGGGTGGCAAGGGGCTGCAGCCAAGGAGCTGTGGGGGCTGCAGGGTGGGAGGGGAGATGCATGGTGGCAAGGGGGCTGCAGGGTGGGAGGGAGATGCATGGTGGCAAGGGGCTACAGTGCAGGGCAGCCAGCGGGTGGCAAGGGGGGCTGCAGTGCAGGGAGCTTCAGGTGGCAAGGGGGAGCTGCAGTGCAGGGAGCTTCAGGTGGCAAGGGGCTGCAGTGCAGGGAGCTTCAGGGTGGCAAGGGGCTGCAGTGCAAGGAGCTGTGGGGGGGCAAGGGGCTGCAGGGTGGGAGGAGATGCAAGGGGCTGGAGGGAGATACAGGGTATGCAGTGGCAAGGGGCATGCAGGGTGGTGGCAAGGGGCTGCAGGAGATGCATGGTGGCAAGGGCAGTGCAAGGAGCACAGAATTAGGGTGCAGGGTGGGAGGGAGATGCATGGTGGCAAGGGGGCTACAGTGCAGGGGCCGCGGGATGGCATGGTGGCGGGGCTGCAGTGCAGGGAGCCGCGAGGTGGCAAGGGGCTGCAGTGCAGGGAGCTTCCCAGGAGTGGCAAGGGGCTGCAGTGCAAGGAGCTGTGGGGTGGCAAGGGGCTGCAGGGTGGGAGGGAGATGCATGGTGGCAAGGGGCTGCTTGGGGTGGGAGGGAGATGGAGTGGCAAGGGGCTGCAGGGTGGAGAGGGAGATGCATGGTGGCAAGGGGCTACAGTGCAGGGAGGCATCATGCGCAGGGTGGCAAGGGGAGCTGCAGTGCAGGGGAGCTGCGGAGCGGCAAGGGGCTGCAGGGTGGAGGGAGATGCATGGTGGCAAGGGGGACTACAGTACAGGAGCTGCAGCTGAAGCAAAGGGGCTGGGGGTGGCAAGGGGCTGAGCAGGAAGCTGCTGGGAAAAGGGGGTAGCAGGGTGGGAGATGGCATGGTGGCAAGTTAGGAGGGCACTGTAGGGCAAGAAAGGGGCTGCATAATGAAAAAAAGGTCTTCTTATTTGGGAGGGGGACATTTGGGAGGCATGCCATTATATATTTTTTATGGTAACTGAAATTCAGCATTTGTTATTTCCAGGTTATCGTCAACAGATAGCGTCTGGTCAGGCTGAGTTTGGTGACCTGGCTAGACAGCACAGTGACTGCAGCTCAGCAAACCGAGATGGCGACCTAGGATCCTTCGGGCCAGGACAGATGCAGAAACCTTTCGAGGATGCCACACATTTGCCCTGGACGTCGGTCAGCTCAGTGAACCCGTCGATACAGACTCTGGTGTACATATTATTCTCCGCACAGCATAAATCTTTCTCTCCAACACTCATCAAAGAAGTCATTGTTATCGTTGCCCCTACATTATTCATATCAGTAACCATAGCAATGAAGCAGGTTGCTGAAGAGTAATATGATATGGTCAATGAAAATGATTTATGGACGGGAACATATAGATTTTTGACTTTTCTATTTTGACCATGTCTACACAAATTTTAAAAGGTTTCGAATGTTTGTCTTTGTTAGATCTTTCCTTGTGTTATTGATAGGGGAAACCTTATGGTGATGCTTATTATTATGTAGCATCTACGGCTCATTGCACTTCTTGTTTTCCCAAGGTGATGGATGTACATTTACAAAGCATGTCTATTTGACAACTTTTATAGTCAATTTTGTCAACTTTGTCCCATGGGTTTATTATTTGATATTAAACATGGTCATTCTACGTCTGTTTACTCTCAATATTTTGTGATTTGTTACCAGGGACAAGAACCAAATAGGATTATCAGTGATTCTGTTTAGCGGAATATATACATGAACTGTTAGAACTAGTTGTGTACTGGAATGGTAGGAAACAGACATGCTTGAATTAACAATCAGGTAAAACATTTTATATGAAAAGAGTGGGGAAGTAAATATACTATTCATGCTTTGATAAGGATCACAAAAATTCCTAACTTTGCTTAAATCCATTTAAAACTGGATAAATGAAATATGGAAACACCTCTTTAGGCAAAAAGCCACTTTAATATAACCGCATTTGATACATGAGTAACCATAAAAATGGTTTTGCAAATCATGGAACTAGTCATTGAGCAGCAGGTATAGGTTCCACAAGATGCAGTGACATACTGAAACCTAGGATCCATGCTTACAATAAACTTAGATATTTAAACCAAACTAGACCACCACCACATAGTTTTCTGTTGAATCAATGTTTTGATCCTTAGCAAAGTGTGAATAGTATACTATCTTTTATATACAATAACTGAAATTGATTATCTTTTGTATGACATAACTGGGAACCTAACATGACTTGTGTCACTCTCCTACCCAGAGTTCCATGCGGCCAGCCAGCATAGTACCTCTGCCACAGGCCAGAAAGATGTGACGATTCATCTTGCACAGTCCATTCAATATTATGTGCATATTTCTTAATTCTTAAATGTTTGACGAGTCTACACATCTAATTAAACATCATTGTTAGAATGGTTTAGTTTCACTGAGAAAATATCCTAAAACGTGTAACACTATTTCGATTTACGCAGCAATCCTTTGTTTACATGGGTTGTACGGCTCCACGTGCTGTCATCGAAGCCGGCGGAGAGCAAATGATGCATCCCCTTTGATATATAAATATGAACTGTCATAAACCTTACTGTCGAAGTTGTGCAAGAATATATACATGCATGTAACAATGTAAAACATTGTGAAGCGCGCACCGAAAAGCTTGCGTAAGGCCAGTCTCTACTTATTGTGAATATGCGGGTTTGTTTACAAACAAGAGAAAAGTCTGGTTATGTGATATGCAAATTAGCCTGTGGCAGTGATGTTATGCTAAGTCCTTGCTGCGCCGGAGTGATTTTACTGGTACTTGATTACAAAGGGAATCACACACCTATGACACATAATAACTACACCTTTGTCAAGGTGTATTCTGTTTTTGTGAGTGAATGTAGAAGACTTTCACTGCATGAACATTCTGTGTCAACATTCAGCAAATTGTACATTCCTCTACCCAAGAATGCACATAATTCTTTAAAGAGACTTTGAACCACCAAATCATCAGAAAAGGTTCCCCTTATCACTGGATGATTAAGAACAATCTCATTAAAGTCAGATCTCAGTTCTTGCTACCTAAGTGGATAGCACACAGCTCTGACATCCCATTCAAGTTTTTTCCGGAATGACCTTTTGTCTGACCAGACATCTGCTTATCTGAGTATGACAACGTGTTTTCTAATCATTCAATCTCACATGCCGTTATCATAAGGTATTCCCAATGACAGTTTCAGGTCTGACAAATTCCTTGCTAAGTCAGCATATTGTAACAGTGAAATGCTGGGATAAATGGCTTTCTTTTTTTCATCTGTTGATTATTTTAATGTGCAAGTGGGAATTGCTTTCTCTTTTTGTAAAAACTAATAATGAAGACACACTACAAACCCAAGCTACTCTTCTTTCTTCGGGGAGGAAAATGCACTCTCCTACCCAGACTTCCATGCGGCAAGCCAGCATAGTATCTCTGCCACAGGCCAGAAAAACGTGATGATTCGTCACATCTTGCACCGTCCATTCAATATAATGTACAGATTTCTTTAAATCTTTTATTTTTGACGAGTCTACACATCTAACTAAACATCTTTAATAGAATGAATAAGTTTCACTGAGAAAATATCCAAAAACATGTAACACTATTTCGATTTGCGTAACGATCCTTTGTTTACATAGGTTGTACGGCTCCACCTGCTGTCATCGAAGACGATGGAGAGCAAACAATGCAGCCAGTTTGATATCTAAATATGTACTGTCATAGACCTAACTGTCGCAGTTGTGGAAGAATATATATGTAACAATGTAAAACATTATGAAGGGAGCGCCGAAAATCTTTCGTGAGTCCAGTCTCTTCTTATTATGAATATGCGCGTTTGTTTACAAACGAGAAAAGTCTGGTCACGTGATATTCAAATTAGCCTGTGGCAGTGATGTTATGTTAAGTCATCGCTGTGCCGGAGTGTGAGAACATGCATATCTAGCAAGGTTGCTAATATTTTGCTACAGGTCGCCATGACATTTCGTCCTTTTGACAATACTCCACACAGCCACAGTCGAGTTTTCAGCAATATTCCAGCAATATCACGGCACGGGACAACAGAAATTGTCTTCACACATTGCTCAAAAGCGGGGAGTCGGTGCAAAATTTACACCGGTCCTGTGGTCCCTGGCTAATAAATATTCATCAGGGCCAGTAATTGCTAACTTTGCAGTGGTCCTGGTGGCCAGTGAATTTTGTATTGATAGTAAATCTATAAGTTATTTTGGACCAGTGAAGTTCAGACAGGACCACTAATTATTGTCCACTCACTGGTCCTGTGGTCTAGTGGGAAATTTTGAAAGATTTCTTTCCCTGTCTTGCGAATGCTGTAACCACCTGATCCACATACAGCTTCAATTGATTGATAAACCGCCTGCCAGTGGGGACAGATTCCAGCCCCGATCCCTATAATGCTTTAGAAGCATGGGCCACTCCCTGGAAAATGTAATACACAGGACATACATGACATAAATATTTATTACATACAACACATGATATTACATGGCAATGACAGGTGAGCATGTACAGAAAATTCACATACACTTGACGTGCACACGTTCACTGCGACTGACGTGCACGTTCTCACACACTGTACCTACACATGATGTTAACATACTGCATTCAGGCGGGCCTTCCTAGGATCATCTCACGTACAAGAACATATGGCAGGAGGCCATCTTGAAGATGGAATGAATTAGAATCTGTCATAATCTGTACAGTTTGATTTTGTGCAGCAATTGTGAATGGCTAGAATTTCAATTAATACTGTCACATCTAGGTTCAACAACGTATCTTACACAAGTGGGTGCTTCTATCATTCCATACAAAAATAAATGTTGCAGTAGAGAAATTTAGCCCTGCATTGTCATAAACTTACTGTTTCATGCCTGAATGATGAAATAAGAATTATAAGCACTGGTTCTTGGGCATATTGGTATATCTATTTCATAGTGAACAGTAATCATCAGGGCTACACACTTTAGGTCATGGATGAGGATAAAGTCTTTATGTCTTATACTGTCAGTGCCCTGGAAACAAGAACGGTAAATGTGTTCAGCCATAACTTGTTTTCCCTGTGTAATACTGTTTAGCTGACACGGAGTGAGATGGAGTAAACACTGCTTTGAGAAGTATTTCAGCCACATCACAGCATGTGGGAGGAAAGAATGCAGGTAGTGAAGACATTTATGTATGATTCTAATGGACCAATGATGAATCACAGTGTAACAACAGTCCAATCTTTCAAGTGTGAATGCTTCAACTACCGAGTCTGCTGTGACCCTGTGTATTGGGAGTGTGAGTTTGGGTTTATGTCGCTTTTAGCAATATCAAGGTGGGGGGACACCAGAAATGGGCTTCACACATTGTGCCTATGTGGGGAATCAAACTCGGGCCTTCCGTGTGACGAGCGAACACTTTAACCACTAGGCTACCCCACAGCCCTGTATACTGGGTAGAGTCCGACATTTCATATCTAGGGGACAGAAGACCTCGTACCATATCAAGTTGTGAGCAGCTATTTATCTCCATCCAATGAGATAATCAGATCAATTCCAGGAGAAAATATTTTTCACTGAGAGAAATTGGTAATCATTTCATATGTATAAATCTCAGGAACATGGCCAACCCCATCACTATGGAACAATGTCATGTTGTAAAAAAATGTAATTTTTAGAGTAAAATTGATATTTTATACTTATCCTGACTCATGCTCTTTTTGCTTGTCTTCTTCTTCTTGCGAACATAGTGGAACACTTGTATCTCCCTAATTGAAGCTCCCTTCAATGTAAAATCACTAATTAGTACATCACGAGTTACCTCCCTTCCACAAGCTCGGGAACGAGGGCTTCACCTCTACCCATGTGCCTCACTCTCTCCTCATATACTGAGCCCAACATTTGAATTTACAGGGAAATCCAAAGTGTTATGTGGGGAGGATGGGAGGGAGCATTTCATGAGTCAGGATAAGTATAAAATATCAATTTTACTCTAAAAAATTACATATTTTTCCTTATCCTGACTCATGCTCTTTTGTTTGTAGAATCCTAACGGAAAAGGAGGTGGGAATATATAATACTTTGGATTTTAATAATTAGTGATTTGAACTGTGATGATTGTAATAACCCTATGGGAACTTCATAAAGGCACTGAACTGATGAATTCCTGCTGCTAACTTATCAGCTGCCATATAAAGGTTATTACAATGTACTTATTACAATGTACTTATTATGATAAAGTATATATAACATTAATACAATGCTTAAGACTAATAGACTTAAGCTTGTTAAATTGCTAGTATAAACTCCTTAGAGTTTGTTAGCTAAATTACTTTAAGATATAAACATAGTACTAAGCTTAAGATATGCTTAAACTTAAGCTAATTATATAATAGCAAAACTCTTTAGAGTTTGTTAGCTAATATACTTATATGATATAAACATAGTGCTGAGCTTAAGATATGAATAAGCTTTAGCTACATATATAATAGCAAACTCTGTAGAGTTTGTTAGCTAATATATTTTTACAATATGAGTATAGTACTGTGCTTAAGATATAATTAACTTAAGCTACATATACAATAGCCAAAACCTCTGTAGAGTTTATTAGCTAATAGACTTATATTGTAACCATAGT